CAATATGATTCATTTAAGCTTTTGACCTGCTTCTCTGCAAATCTAAGGGCAGTATCTCCTGGCATAGTCTGTAGCATATAGCATAACAGCTTAAATGGATTTTTGAACGACTAGATAAAAATGCTTTCATTTTTCTTTGTATATCTTAGAGTGCAGTCAGAGAATGAAAAGTCTGTGAGACTCTCAGTTGCCATCAATTTAAGTGAGGCGAAATGGCACCACATCTTTTGTTTTTTCCCCTTTTTGCTGACAATTTGTTACAACGTGGTGAACTGAGAAGAATACATCAGAATCTTTAAGAAGCTGGGCATCTGGTGTCTTGAAAAGGAAGCCAAGTAAATTCAAAGATGTTTAAATTACTACAGGGCCTTGGTAGTTTCACACATCATTACTGGAATGCACATCTATGCTATTTAAACTCTTTATTAGATACAGGGATGCAGTTTTTTTCACAAGACACCGTGTCATTAATCACACTTGCTGGTAGCCTCAAAAGTGAGTCTGAGGATTGAACAGGCTGAGGTTGATGAAAGCATCTTCCAGATTCCCACAAGGGATATCCTCCATGCTGTGAATGAAGAGCAGTCATTGGCAAGAGTATAGGAAAGACTGGTCTTGTTTCGGTCTTATTGGACCTGCCCTGTAAATAAAGGGCCATCTTCCTGTTTTTGTGCCAGCCACCTGGCAGTACTTGCCAGAAGGAAGTTCATAATTAGGCCTTTTTAATTAAAAGATGGGTAATATTTGTATTATAGGAGCCTAAAAGAAGCAAGATTATGTACAGCAAATCTGCAAAGTGATCTCTGTCAAAGGGAACTATAAAGCAAGGTCTTGCAAGGGATGTTTATTGATCAAGAAGATTGACTGGAAGACTGGCAGCTGTGACCTAATGGTAGCATGAAGATGAAAGTAGTAAGAAAAATGAACTGGAAATAAAGTATGCATTTCTTAATTAAATCCGAATGGAAAGAAAATTCCTCAATATTAGCCCTCCCAGACCCCAGGGTCTGTTCCCTAGGAGATAAGGAAAAAGAGCTGTGCTCCCACCTAGCTTATTTAATTCAGGCTGCTGGGAGAAAAGCTTCAATTGCATCTGATTGTAAGAACTGATTTTTGTTTCCCTTGAGAAGTTGATTGAGGTCTACAGAAAAACAGAATTAGAGAAATGTGTATTTCATACAGGAACAGCTGGCTGAGCATACTGGGTTTCACACGTCTGTAAAATTTTATGCAAGGTTTCTTTTTTTTTTTTTTAGGTAAGAAATTTAATAACCTGGAGTATCTCAGAACCAAAACTAGCGAGCCCAGTGTTAACTTCTACTTTAAAGATAGTGGTTTAGTTGTGAGAGAGCATGTGTGCCTTGTGTGCTTGATTATGTTATCTGTGGGCAGAGCTCATTTGATGGCTTCCTCCCAAATGGAACTCCACTTTTCTCCTGTTTTCATTTATTTTTGCCCATTTATCCACTTTTGGGAGGGGAAGAAGGTGGGGTTTTTTTGTTTTGTTTTTTTTTTAAGACTAATTCTAGAAATACTGAAAAGTTTTCTATTTATTTTTATCCAGTTTGTTGGCAGGTTTAATTCAAGTGTTGAAAGCCGCACGCAGGCTTGACTTCAAAGAGTATTTAGAACCACAGTCCCTATAAATCTGTGCTTCGTAAGACACCGTGAGTGCTTTTTGTGAAGGTGTTTTTTAGAGTCCGAAAACAAAAAAAATCCCATTCTAGTAGGAGGGAGACTTAGTTAGCTCTTCTCTCAGCTGATTGGAACAAATAGTTATATTCGCTTTTAAATTCAGAGCAGAACCTCAGTTTACCTTTCTAAATCACATCAGTGTTGGTTTTTTTCATTCTGCCTTTTTGCAGATAAGGCAAGTATTCCAGCAATTGTATGACTGATGTTGTGGCAGAGTGAAGAGGGACTTTATTTCTATAATGTGGCAAAACCAAATTGTTCCCAATTAGCTCATTTCATTTTCAGGATGCATGTTTCAAGCCAATGTGACTGGCTATGCTACACTTAAACTTTTGCTGACCAAATTTCACTAAACACTCTGGCATCCACAGCTGATGATTTCATATTAGATATTGAAAGATATTTGGAGGATATTTTGGCATGTCTTAATATTGTAGCTTTGCACCATTAGTTATCCAGATTTCCTTGCTCTGCATTTATGTTTTCTAACCTATATATCTTTTTACCTTTAGGATATCTGTCAGTATAGTAGGGTGCTATTCCAGTAGCGTCTCCCTCGCACTCCCTGATTGATACTCCTCAGCCTACTCACCGCCTATCTGCCTGTTGGGCCTGTCCCAGGGAAGGTAGGGTGCGATTTCAGTAGTCTCTCTCACTCTCCCTGATAATCCTCAACCTAGTCACCGCCTCCTGGAGCTCTGTCACTAAGTGGAGGAGTTCCTCCACCTGGGCACACCTCCCACAGGAGTGCTCACTACTGCTGTTGGGTCTGGCTCGAGAGCAGGGCACACCCTGCAGCCTGACACCTGTTCCCACCGGAGCTCCTTCTGGGAAGCTGCGTCAGTCGTGGTGGGTGCAGAGCTTAGAGAGGCCATGGCTTTCTGCCCGGTGGATACCATTGCTCCCCGATTGAGCTGAGAAAGCTTCAGCGCCCTTCCTGCACACCCTTCCGTGCAAGCTGCCGTGTGAACTGCTGCGCCGCGCCCCTGCTGACGCACCACGCCCTGTTTGCCCACCCTGTTGGCGTCACTCCTGGTCCCAGCGCTCCCCAAGGGCTTCTTTTGTAGGTGTGGGGGGCTTGTCTGCCATTGCTCCTGGCCCAGCCCAGGTCTTGTCAGCTGCTGTCACGCAAGCTGCTGGCTCCGAGGTGCTGGAGCATGTCCAAAGAAGGGCAACAAAGCTGGTGAAGGGTCTGGAGGACAAGTCTTATGAGGAGCAGCTGAGGGAAGTGGGGCTGTTTAGTCTGGAGAAGAGGAGGCTGAGGGGAGACCTTATCGCTCTCTACAACTACCCGAAAGGAGGTTGTAGTGAGGTGGGGGTCGGTCTCTTCTGCTAAGTAACAAGCGATAGGACAAGAGGACATGGCCTCAACTTGTGCCAGGGCAGGTTTAGATTGGATATTAGGAAAAATTTCTTCACTGAAAGTGTTGTCAGGCACTGGAACAGGCTGCCCAGGGAACTGGTTGGGTCCCCATCCCTGGAGGTATTGAAAAGACGTTTAGATGTGGTGCTTAGGGACATGGTTTAGTGGTGGAGTTGGCAGTGGTAGGTTAAGGGTTGGACTCGATGATCTTAAAGGTCTTTTCTGACCTAAACAATTTTGTAATTCTACAGTAACCAGCTTAGTATATGAGCTCCTGAACAGTTTCTCAAAGAAGAGAACTTCAATGAAGCTCGACACTGTTACAATTTTCTAAGTAGGCCTGTATACCTCTCTCAGCTTGGTCCAGCTAGTTGCTGTATTTTATTGAGAATTATGATTACACAAGAGGCTTAGTCCCAAAGACACATAGTGTTAGGTGCTATGAATTAAAAAAAAAACAAAACCAAAGAACACCCCCCACAAACCAAACCAAAAGGGTAGTTTTCCACAGGGCAGCAGATGAGAAACTGAATCTCTGAGACCGGTACAGAGTTACAGCCTGAAGTGATGCTTTGCTCTTTCTTGGTTTTCTTCTCACAACTTTGCATCTTACCATTTCTGTGCTTTATATGAATGATGTTACTAGGATTTCGAGTTGAGAGAACAAGGTATGTGTGATGTACCAGTGCTGCGAATCAGCAGAGGGCACTACGTGCCTGTAAACCTATGTAACTGTGAATTAAAATGCAGAGTGACATCTTGGTGAAGTTAGCATGAGTTACTCCAAGGTTTTGATGATTTAGCTGAGGGAATATCTGTGCTTATTCAGTAATGCAGAGAATGCACCACATCATCTCATTTCTTCCAATGAAAGCTGACTATATTTATAAGATGTTTATACTATTCTACTAAAAAACATGAATGGATCATTGGCACCAGGGGCTTCAATTCACAATATTGGCATCCCACTCAGGCGGTACCTGGGCACATAATGTTTAGGGGAGCATGTAGTTGTCTTGTGCCTGCAAAAGCAGTCTTCCTCCTGAGGTCCCACTCTGCATTGAGATACTGATGATATTTCCTGGCAGAGCGTGTCTTTTCTCAGCCAACCATTCACTCATTCTCACCCTCTCAGGAGAAAGTGTGTGGGTTCTGGTCCCTATGCCCTCCCAACTGCTGGGGCTGATATTCAAGGGGCTGCTGATATTCAGTTGCCATGCTGTGTTTTTTTCCCCTGTAATAACCCACTTCTTATGTCAGCTATTTGACCTGAAACAGAGTGGTTGTACGCAGAAAGTTTATTTCTATACTACTTATATTACATGGGTCCAGTGTAACTAAGCCAAATAAATGTTCATTGACGTGAAACAGATGGATGAGAAAATCTATTGGGAATTGTAATATTTATGACAAACACTGGATTTCTCATTTCCCTGTTTGTTTATTCCTGAGACAGCTGGGTTGCATGAATTTCCTCCCTATAGTTTCATCTTCTTCAGTATGCTTTAGCCCATACTGCAGCAACAGCCTTTGTAAGCAGCAAGTGACACATACAGTAGCAAGTAGACTTCCAGCTGCTGATGCTGGTGTTCTGCTTTTGGAAGCATTGCAAGTGGCATCATGAAACAGTTTCTAAAAAATATATATGCCTGTACTAAATACCACTAAGCCCTGAAAAAAAAATAAAAAGGTAAGAAATACTTCTGAGCATTATAGCACTGGTGTTGAAATATGTCAAATGATCAGAAGGGGTGGTTATTACTGCTATTTTTATACTGCTCTGATTTAGGTATAAAAAATATTTGAAAAGGAAATGTTTTGTGCATCTTGGGGCATATTTTTCATCTGTGGCTTGTTTTTCTTTAGAGATTATACAGCACCAGGAGGTATGGAGAATGCTGTTCCTAGCAATATGATAGAAATAGGCAAATTTTGCCTAAATATCAATAAGGTGGTTGTTTTTGAAAAAGTACAAATTCATCAGAAATAGAGCTGAAATGTTTCAGTTTGTTAGAACCTACTCAGAGCTATGTGTAGTCTTTCTTTGGTGCTGCTGTTTTTGTTTCTGTGTAGAGCCTAGTCTTGCAGTTTCTTCTCAAACAAAATTCTGATTGACAGCTACTGGAGTTTTGTCTGTGTAGGAAATAAGGATCAGGCCTTAGGTAATGTCTTAGGAGCTCTTGAAAGTAACTTTCACAGGAGACTTCCTCACTTTTATGATTTTTTTTAAATTTTTTTTTCAGGTTGAAGTTTGTTCTTGTGCTTTATGAGACTTGTTACCCCAGATTTCTGCACAAGACACATACCCAAGATTTCTCTTTCAGCAGTTCAAATGCAGTGAAATAGAAGAACGCTAAAACAAAGATATGTTTTGTGTGTCTCTTCACCGGGCGGTCATGAGGAAGCACCGCAGGGAATTCATAAGACTTGAGTTAACTCAGAGGGGATAACTCAGTTAGGATTGCCTCTGGCAGAGCAGGAAGCTCAGAACAAAATCAATAATTGGAATAACCCATTCTGATGCTGTCCTGGTTTTCTTGAGCACAGCAGTATACGTGTTTCATTAATCTAAATCTGGGAAATGCTAGGTACTTAAAACCAAACTGATATGCTCTGTCTTTGGAATACCTACACAGTGTTTACAGAAGTGAAGGGTGACTCCAGTGTTCAGAAGAAGGCACGGTAAAACTGACTTCTTGTTGCCGTAGGAGTTAGTTATGGAATTTTAATGTGCCCCAAAAGGTTAAAAGGTAATTACCAACATGATTCAGATGTTACTAGCTGGGACAGGAAGGTGCTCAGTCTGAGAGCTTTTGCTGCTCTTTCATAGTCCTTTGGCAGCAGAGTATGAAGGTGTGCCCCAGTTCAAATTAATTTCATGTTAGGGGATTCCATAGTAGTACCCAAATGTCCATGTCAGGACCAAATGCTTCTGATGAAACAAACTCACTGAGTTAATCTCCATCTACAGGGACATGTTTTCCTGATTCCAATTTAATGTATTTTCATATGGTTGAGCACAAGAGCTGTAGAAATGTGCTTTTGTTCCATGCTGAATGAAAAAAAAAAAAAAGCCCACCTCCATGTTCTGGAGTATTTGTGAACATGTGCTGTTATGTCCATTCTTAAATTGGAAATGCTGAGGTTTCAACCTTGGTACCTTTGGCTCGTTAAGTGACTGGAGATCTACTTTGGCTATGACAGAACTTCTGATTGAAAACTTATAAAAATTTGATGTTTTGGCATTTTACAAACCGTAATGTCTCCTCAAAAGCACTGCAAAATAAAATTGTTGTTTTGCAGCTACTTCTTCATATGTCCATGTACCAAAGAATTAATTCCTTTCCTCCTACACTTTGCTTTCTTCCTAACTTTCATTACCTTGGTGTTTCTGACAAGGATTCCATTAGAGTCCTGCATCCATACAAAGACTAGGTTAAAAAACAATTTCTGCTTCACATTCTCTAACCTGTTGGGGTTTTTTTGTAAACTATTTTTCTCTTATCTTTAGGTTTGATTTTTGGCCTTACTGCTTTCTAAGTATCCCTCACTTTGAATTAGAAGTCCTCAAAGTTATTAGCCAGCACTTTTCAAGGTTATATCTCATTTCGTTATTTCTGGACCAAGTTTTGAGTCTTTCAGGATCCCTTTGTGCCCTTTTACTGTCTCTTCTGGTGTTTGCAAACACCTGCAGATTTGAATAATGTGCTCTCTATCCCTTCTTTCACATTATCAATGAGGAGGCTAAATCAAATCAAGCCTGACACTTCTTCGAGTAAGTGGTTTTCCGCTGCTTCTCGTCAGCAAGACACAGTGTTGTTGTGGTGATGGTGGTGTTACCTGGTTCTAAATATTAAAACTTCATGCAGTATTTCTTTTGAAGTCAGTGTAAATATTTTTTTTTAGTGATGGGTTGGTGTGGCGCTGCATCAAATATTTATTAAAAGTTAGTACTTCTACCAATTGACATTCATGCTGATGCAGTGCCCACTTAAATACATAATTTAATATAAGCTTTGAAAAATCAACTGTGGCACACAATATGGCCTTTATTGTTTATCTATTTTATGGAGTCCAGAATGCATTGTGAAAAAATGAGTAACCACATAATGCTAATGAGCATTTCTTTGTGAATTTTTAAAGCTGTTATGCTGCCATCCATATAGTCAGGCAGGGAAATCCCATGTAAATAATAGCTCTACAAATTACCTGTCTTCTTCCACTCTTAATTCAGCTAAACTTTCTGAATATCTAGTAGTGGAGATATACAAAATCTAACTATTAAATATATAATGATGTAATTAGGACATTCATACTGGCCACACTATCACTCACTGGAATTTATGGCTGGAGGTGTTGGATTGGAAGAATGAGCCATTATTAGTAAATGCTACATTTTCTGTAGGGCTGGGGATTTTTAGGTTAGCTGAAACCATTTTTTTCCAGGAAGGTCTCTGAGCTATGTTTTTAGCATATAATGAAGCTCATCACAGCTGCTTTTGTCTGATTTTGAAAGAAAAAAAAAAACCAAACACTAAATATAATTAACCGTTCAGTCCTTTCATGAATATTTAGGAGAAAAAAATGTAAGATATATTTCTCTTTTTCAGTTACAAATAGCCAGTTTTTCATCTTAGTTGAGCAATGCTACTCCATCTCATTTTTTTGGTCTGATCTTAGTGACTCTACTGCAGGGTGTTAGTTTTGTTGCCCAGAAGTGCCCAACATAAAGCTTTGAAGATACAAGACAGTATCATTTCTGCATACAACTGACTTAATTCAACTGTGTATCACACTTAAGTTGCACATGTAGAACAACAGGATTGCAGAACAGTTGAGGTTGGATGGGACCTCTAGAGGTTATCTGGTCCAATCCCCCTGCTCAAGCAGGGCCACCTAGAGCTGGCTGCCCAGAACCATGTCCAGGCAGCTTTTGAGTGTCTCCAAGGATGGAGACTCTACAGCCTCTCGGGGCAACCTGTGCCAGTGCTCAGTCACCCTCACAGTGAAAAAGTGTTTCCTTACATTCAGACAGAAGCTCCCATGTTTCATTTTACGTCCATTGCCTGTTGTTCTACATGCACACGCAGACGTGATCTGTCGGAAGCTGTTACATGTATTGATTAAATTTGTGCTTCCTTCCAGTGAACGCTTAACCATTTGGTGCAGCTTCCTGCACATAGAAATCATGATTATGGTTGTATTTAGTTTTTATGATGTTTTTGTTTGTTTGTCATTGTATAGGGTAAGTCTTACCCCTTTAAAGGTCCATTCCCTCCTATGTGGAATCCGTTGGCCTACCTGGACTACAACAACTTATGGAGGACCATGGATGAAATGGGAAAGGAGGTACGGCATCAGGAATTGCAGCTGACCATCTTAGTTCAGCTTCGTCTCCATGAGGGGTGGAGTGAAGGTGGGACTAGGATGCAGACAGGCCAAGCTGCTCTAGCTTGAACAAACCTGGTGCTGGCAAGAGCAGCATCGTGCCATGCATTTTGGTACACACTGATGGTCACAGCACATGTTACAAGTGGCATCCTGGCAAGCTTTTCTGAAGGTCATGCTGCTGAGGCTGTCTGCAGTCATGCCTTCGTTTTCTGGATATATGAACATTAGGATTTATGCATGTGATTTTTAGCACTTTGCCTGATGATTGGGTAAATAGTATTTTAAGAGGCTTGTAGACTTCAAATGTATGCCCTTTTCCACCCTCAAATTCAGCTCAACAATTTTAGTTTTTTACCAGTTGTGTATGTTTTCCATTGACTGAGCTACAAGACTTTGAGAAGAGGTTGCTATTACTTGCGTAGATGAATGGGAGAGATATGGAATACATTCCCCAGCACTGTACTTTGCCTTTCTAGGCAAAGTTTTTAACTCTAAAGTTATTCTCTATTCTTAAATCTAAAAAAAAAAAAAAATCTTAAAACAAACAAACAACAAAAAACGAAAAGCATCCTCTGTTAAGTTCACTGTATTACCTGCCAGGAATTTGCAGGCTGAATTACTGTGTAAAGATGAGATTGTTTGTGTTTGTTGTCTCTTTCGTATGCCACGCATTCATTCATTTGCTGATTAACGCTCTTTTATGTCTCCTTAGATTCCCAATGAAGCCCCATGGAAGGCTCCACACGCAGAAGAATGGGACAAAATGACTATGCAAGATTTTATAGATAAAATTTGCTGGACAAAGTAAGAAACTCTTAATACAAAATATAATACCTTAATTTATATACCTTAGAGCTCCAAACAGGTGTTACTGCTTTGCAAACAGATATAACTACCACTAGAATCCAGTCTTTTTAAAGAAATGGAGTGAGAAAATCTTGTAATAATGGACCATGACACCTGTCAGCAGCACACACAGTAGATTCTGTTATATTTCTGTAACTTTTTAGACTAAAATAAAGATAAAAGGAAAATGTATTTGGGGAGGGTTACTTCTGAAGACATAGGTAGTACCTTCATCTGTTATGTGCACTTTTCCTCTCTTTACTGTGTGTTTAACTTTTACGAGAAAAATGCTCTGGCTACAGCATGTTTGTTCCATCAAAAGTTTGATTCAAAACACACGTTTATTCTGTGCTGGGCCAGCCGATTTTACCAAAGTGCTATAAAAATAACATTTGTCTTGAAATAGCACTAAATCACTTTAACACCCATCATTCTATTGTTTAACTGCTGTACTATATACCACCCAGGGAAACTGAAAATGGTTCCTGTTTTTATGTATACATCAAAGCAATTTTTCTTTACTTGCTATTCAACAACAGTTTGATTGGTTTTCTTTGCACTGAAGCAAAAAAAACCCATTAATTCTGCCTTGCTGTAAAGCAGATTGATTTCTACAGCAACCTCTTCAGAATTGCTAAGCAGCTGACGTGTAGTCAGGCACTGGAACAGGCTGCCCAGGGAAGTGGTTGAGTCTCCATCCCTGGAGGTATTTAAAAGATGTGTAGATGTGGTGCTCGAGGACATGGTTTAGTGGTGGACTTGGCAGTGGTAGGTTAAGGGTTGGACTCAATGATCTTAAGGGTCTTTTCCAACCTTAACAATTCTATGATTCTATTCTATGGCTGCAGCAAGCCTGCACAGAGCTTGGTGCAGAACCCTGCGAGGACCCAGTTAAGCTGACACTGTTGTCGATGGGGGCATTTTTACAGCTTCAGCCAGCCTCGAGAGAGCAACATGATCATTGTTAATGGACAGTAGGCTCTTGTCCAAAAACTTTTAATCTTCTGGTTGTTTTGCTTTAACAAGAGTTACAATTGCATGAAAGGATATAGAAGGCCTTTCTTGTCACCGTCCATGCTCAGTAAAACCAAATAGAAATGTATGCTGGTGGTTCTGCTGGCCATCTGAATCTCTGATTTGGTAAAGTTACCAAAACAAGTTACCAAAATGCCATGCACCGGTAGTCGTTCAATATCCAGTAGCTCACGTGACTACAGTCATTTTTTTTCAAACTCTGATGGAATAAGACGTGACATTTTACCTGAATATTGACACACCTGTCAGCCTCCCTTAATGCCAAGATGCTTTTCAGATTTTATGTGTGCATCTCAGCTTGATTTGCCCAGTTTGTTCAAGATTTAGGTAGCATGTTGTAGAAACTTCCCAGCCTGGAAGGTAATGACCCAGAAGGGTAGTCTTCCACTGTTTCCTCTCATCTGACAGACTGTACAGATTTGCTTTTGGCTAGAATTGCATGCTGGAAATACCCTGAGTGCTCTTGGTGGAAATCATACTGCCATTTTTAGGTAAAACACCAGGAGAAACTGGGGAACTGAAGTGCTGAAAAACAATGGGAGAAGGAGGCAGGAGCTAGGAGAATTTAACCACCATTTAATACCTTCTGCTTATGAAATATTAATAAATACATATTATAATTCTCCCATTAGACAAAATATCTTTCAGTTGATCCTATTTTATAGTATGTGTTTATACAGACAAATATTGATAAATATTTTCTGTATTATTTTTGGCTGTCAAGAATGAAGCCAGAATGCACCTGTATTTCAGAAAATGGATCAACTTTTTACTTCAGTGGGACTTTGCATCTTTAGAAAGGATGGAAGATGTGGGTTTTTTCTGTGTAGTTCTACAGCTGTTTGAAATAGTATGTTTGAGTTACGCTTTTCACTTCTTTTTTCTTTTTTTTCCCCTTTTTATAAAGTTCGAAGACTGAAAAAAGAAAGAAGCAACTACAAGTGGATTCTGTACTGGTTTTGGAAGTTATTGATTGCCTGATGCCTGGCATATGAAATGCCTATAGAATCTCAGTCCCTGTTAATCACAATGCAGTTAAGCTGAGCATCTCCTGGTTCTGTCCATGTCCCTTTAAACTCCTTGTCAGAGTGAGGGCAGAGGAGGTGTTTACTTCTAACAGCAGG